ACAATAGTGATTTGTATTATAAGCATCCAACATATTTATCGTACACATAACTTTCAATGAGCAACATGCAATATTTCTTTTAGATATTTTTAATTATAGTTTCATCTTCACCAAACATTTATTATAATTACATTGATTTTTCCAATATGTTTTGAGACAGCAGTGTACCAATTGTTCCACTGTAGATTAACTTCAACAATCTCGAGTTAACTTACTTTTTATCTTTTTCTAGGTCTAAATATTAGGATAGGAAGAGTTAAAAAGTAAGTTAAACCGAGATTAAAGTTACTCTACTTTAATAAAAATGGATGTGTGTGCTTTTAACATACACATTCCCCACTCCTTAATGTTATTTTTGCAAAAATATGACACTAAAAAAATCTAAATACACGATTGCAGAGATCACTAAATACCGTAACCTTCTTGTCTAAAACATTTCTTCATATACCTTACGGTCTCAGAGATATTCACTCGTAATCAAATACATAGGATTGCTTTCGAGGGGTTGTTTCAATCTCTAAGCACACCTCGAAGTCGATAAAAACAAATACGTGTCTGTTATTTTTCGTTACTCTACAAAATATATATTCAAAGCCCATAAAAATCTGTGAGACACAGTTCCAAACATTTCCTTGTTAGTAGAATTCAATTTTTATATCACATATTGAGACAGTCTTTTAAATCGAGTCTTCAGACCATCAGAGCTTGAATTTAATAGGAAAAATAATGCTTATGTATGGTAAAAATTAAGTCCTACTTTAGACATATTTCCGGTATTTTTGTTTGTTTTAATCTTGCAGTTTTTACAAATATACTGTTTCCTGAAAAATTCGATGCAGAGAGTCAATCATATGATATTTTTGCAAAATGAAGACATTAACATGTCTAATATGTCATTGTAATTCAAACTTAATTTCTTTTACACGCACACACACACACACACTCGCTCTGTTGCTAAAAATTATATTATAATATATTTACAATTATCGATTTTTTCAGGCCTGTCGTATATAATTCTAGCGATATACATCACGTGGATGTTGACACCGGATGTCCTGGACATTATATCGCCTATGAACGAATCTCGCCCGCGGAGGCAACCTATTGATATTCAATTTTTTGTTAATGATGAGTATTTGTACATCGTTCGGTACCACACGTGTTTTTTACTTATCATCATACCTTTTATTTATGTCGGCTGTTCCACTCTATTTGTGACTGTCACGCAACACGTTTGCGGAATGTGCAAGTTGATGGGGTAAAAAATTTATTCCTCGCGCAATTTACTACTATTTGCAAAAGAGCAGATGACTCTAATGTAAGATTACTTGAAAGCGGAGCGTCGGTATTATCTCTAAATCTAATTAAACTATGGTTTATCAATTCTCGAGTTCGTGCGACAGATACATCTCTTTTTTTCAATTAGAAAAAATAGTTTTCTTCTCATGTTTTTAAAATTTATTATTATTATTATCAATATTTTTCGATATCTTTCGCGCAAATACTAAAAAATGCTAAACTCGAGCTCATCTCTTCTTCCGCACATTGCACGACAAATATAATTCGACTGAACGTCAATCGTAGATAAGAATAACGTTGGCAATAATTTCGGCAGGAATCGTGCGGAACGCATATTTTTCGTTGCCGAAAACGATACGGCGTATGATTTAATTCAAGAGTCGCAAAGTTACGGAAACTTGGCCGTTTTTGTGCGGCAGCATGACAACGTTATACAGTTTGTATTTTTATTTTATATAATATACGATATCTCTAATGCATCAGTATTAACTTTATTTTCACGAATAATGTGTAACGAAGCAGATTAAAGCAGAAAATTTGAAAAGTAACAATGATGGTAACTATAATACATATATAGTGCCTCTTTCACGCATCACACTAATACGATTGATAGATTATAGATTTCAATCAAGAAGAATCAATTATTAGCATTAAATCAGATGATACAAATATATACAGAGACGAATCTAAATATTGTACAGGGTTCGATAGATATTTCTACTATTTCGTCTCTATAATAATAATCGAATAAATCGACAGATTTATATTAGTAGGGGAGCTAGCTCCATTTTTTCGTGATTATTTTGGTACTTATGAAACTTTTTGTGGTGATTCAGAATGTTATTCAATGATCAAAGCTCCGGGGACTGAAAAAAAAGTGGGGGGCTTTGGGTGGTATAGCCACCCACTTGTGCAAAAAAAAATTTTTTTCAAGTCATTTCGGTATGTCAGTCATTTTGCACCATAATTTTATGATATATTCTATGACTATTAGCATAATTGACTGACAAAAAAGTGGGTCTCAAAACCCTCATAAAATATTGTAAATTCCTCAGTTTGCGATGACTTATGAATTTTTTCCTTCTACCATTGATGGTCATCAGGACTCATTTTAAGGTAAATATCTCGTTTAGGGGACCCACTTCCGATGACCTTGAATTTGCCATATATTGTCAAGGACACCCTTCCGATGAGTAACATGCAAGTGATTTTAGTCGGGGGTCGCTTTTGATTAAAAAGTTATTAACAGAAAAAGGTTAGATGACGCGCTTTAAGTATTCTCTGCTTTAACAAAAAGACTTCAATCTATCAACAATTTATTGCTTTAAATGTTGTGTTTTGATAAAGCAGCGACTTTCTCGCGAAATAAAGTATTCTCTGCTTTAGAAAAAAACGTAATATTAGTCGTTTATGCCTTCTAATACTCAAAATAGCTGCTATATTTTTCAAACTTTTTTTGTTTATAACTTTTTAATAAAAAGCGACCCCCGACTAAAATCACTTGCATGTTACTCGGGAGAGTGTCTTTGACAATATATGTCAAATTCAAGGTCATCGAAAGTGGATCCCCTAAACGGGATATTTACCATTTATTTGAGTAATTAAAAGACAATAAGAATTAAAATGCGTCCTGATGACCATCAATGATAGAAGGAAATAGTTATTTGTGCAACAAGTGCTAGAAAATGAAAATTCACGGGTGCGGTTTCCGCACCCGGGAATTTTCAACTTCACGCACGTGTTGCATACCCTATTTTATGTTGCAAGTGCGCGTCGCGTGCGTAATGGGCCACTTTCCATGCACGTGTGACATGAAGATTCATAAGTCGCAAACTGTGGAATTTACAATATTTTATGAGGGTTTGGAGACCCATTTTTTTGTCAGTCAATTATGCTAATAGTCATAGAATATATCATAGAATTATGGTGCAAAATGACTGACATACCGAAATGACTTGAAAAAATTTTTTTTTTGCATAAGTGGGTGGCTATACCACCCAAAGCCCCCCACTTTTTTGTCAGTCCCCGGAGCTTTGATCATTGAATAACATTCTGAATCACCACAAAAAGTTTCATAAGTACCGAAATAATCACGAAAAAATGGAGCTAGCTCCCCTACTATATTTAGACTTCATTATTTCTTTATCGACAAAAATAATCTTATAAATCTTATAATTACAAAACAGACCACCGCCATATTCCCAATTATAAATGTACGTTAACGTAACTTATTAATTATTTTACATGCAAAAAATATTCACCGCTTTATTACTTTAATACGTTCGACTTTTTTCACCTTACAAGATTCGTTGATATAATCGAGACTTGTCACACTGTACCGTTTCTAATGGAACTCACAGGAATGGTTTTTTTGATGAGTCTTACGTTAATCGAGGTATGTTGATTGCGGAAATGTGTCGGACGTCTCCAAGTATTATCCAAGCGTTAAAACGAAATCTTTCAGGTACTAACAATCTCCAGTAACAATTTCGAACGAACTTTTAGATCCGTCAGTGTCGCCATTATAGGACAGAGCTATATATTCATGTATTGTTATATGGGACAAAGAGTCACGGATGTGAGTTCGAGTATATGTGAGAAAATGTAAGTATATATACTTCGTCCAACGAGAGATCATGGTTGATCAAACATAAATAACGAAAGGCCACAAAGCCGCAACAAGGTGTTCGCATTAAATTATTTTTATTTTTAATAGTGTTGGGCAATATCTAACGCGAACACCTTGTTGCGCGGCTCTGTGGCCTATCGTTATTTATGTTTGATCAACCATGATCTCTCATTAGACGGAGTATAGGTCTCTTTAATAATACACTTAAGATTATATCTTGCACTGCAATATTCGAAATAATAATATTCGAAACGGCAATGCTTTGTCTACTCAAGCTGACGAGAGAAAAATTGAAATACAATTTACTGGAAGAATGAGAAAATTTCTCTAAACATATACGCGCGGCGTTTTTTTCTTCAAAAATATATGTGCGATAAAAGTACTACTTAAATATTCGATATTTACGCATTATGTAAATTTGCGAGACATACGAAATATCACAGTCAAAAGACACGGTAGTCTCACGCCAAGTATTCGCGAAGCGAGATAGCACCGAGCACCGCGTATCCTTACGCGACGCGACGAGTTGCGATTTCCCGAGATTTTAAGATCTCGACAGAATATTACAATGAAAAGAAACATGATATAACTTTCATGATTTTAAAAGAGAAATACGTTAATACATTAACTTGCTATATTAATAATGATTATTTATTATTAGAGGGGGAGGGAA